CAGTTGTCACAGGCTTCCAGGTTTACACAAGCTTCTGGTTTATGGAGATTTCAGTTGTCACAGGCTTCCAGGTTTACACAAGCTTCTGGTTTATGGAGATTTCAGTTGTCACAGGCTTCCAGGTTTACACAAGCTTCTGGTTTATGGAGATTTCAGTTGTCACAGGCTTCCAGGTTTACACAAGCTTCTGGTTTATGGAGATTTCAGTTGTCACAGGCTTCCAGGTTTACACAAGCTTCTGGTTTATGGAGATTTCAGTTGTCACAGGCTTCCAGGTTTACACATGCTTCTGGTTTATGGAGATTTCAGTTGTCACAGGCTTCCAGGTTTACACAAGCTTCTGGTTTATGGAGATTTCAGTTGTCACAGGCTTCCAGGTTTACACAAGCTTCTGGTTTATGGAGATTTCAGTTGTCACAGGCTTCCAGGTTTACACAAGCTTCTGGTTTATGGAGATTTCAGTTGTCACAGGCTTCCAGGTTTACACAAGCTTCTGGTTTATGGAGATTTCAGTTGTCACAGGCTTCCAGGTTTACACAAGCTTCTGGTTTATGGAGATTTCAGTTGTCACAGGCTTCCAGGTTTACACAAGCTTCTGGTTTATGGAGATTTCAGTTGTCACAGGCTTCCAGGTTTACACAAGCTTCTGGTTTATGGAGATTTCAGTTGTCACAGGCTTCCAGGTTTACACAAGCTTCTGGTTTATGGAGATTTCAGTTGTCACAGGCTTTCAGGTTTACACAAGCTTCTGGTTTATGGAGATTTCAGTTGTCACAGGCTTCCAGGTTTACACAAGCTATTGACTGACAGCTTTTTATGTCCTGCATTGTTAATATACATTTGCAAAAAGTGATTATGCTACTGTTAATTATTAAAAGGGTTAATTATTCACTTGGTTTTATTTTTGCTTATTGGTTTTATTATTATGCGCCAAATTAAAACCCAGTGAATATGTAAAATTGAGCATAGAACACATTATCTAAATGATAAAACCGTGAATGTAAAACCCACTGAATATGCCTGAAATGGTAAATCAGTGAAATTTAAACCCAGTGAAAATTAGTCATTTTACAGTGTACATGTATAACCACTTTGTGTATAACAAGGCTTTCACTTAAACTGTGGTTAGTATTTTGTTTTAAACTTTGATGGGATTTATCAATTTACGAGTTTAACCTGCTCCAATGTAGTTTGAATTTGAATTATTGAATAAGCCTTCAGCATGTATGTGTGTATCTAGTGATTTATCACTTCTTACTCCAGATCTTTGTTTTCTATAAAAAAAAATAATAACCAAAATAATAAAAACAATTTTTAAAATACATAAATACCCAGTTTTAGTTGTAAAATGCTGATATATGAGAAGCTTTGTGTTAGAATGAAAATACTGTTCACAGTGGTCTGAAGAAGATGTATGTATAATAATAATATGAACTACGAGTCTAACGCTGCAGTATGTGGATTGCTGCCAATAACTTGTCACGATTACTAGATCTTATTAAATATAGAACTGACGTAACCATCGAATGCTATTTGGTGCATGAAACATCAAATGCAAACAACGTGCACAGATGATTCTTTTAACTCCAATGATTTGATGTGAATCCCTGGGAAAGTTCACTACATAGACTACCACGGGTATGACATAATTATTTGAACGACAAAACAGTTATAAATACACTTGTCATTATAATTTCTTCATTATGCATTTGTACAAATCAAAAATACCTCATGCATATTCATAATGATGTAGCTCAAATTAACGCTACTCATCTGTCAAAGTAAAGATATCTGATGGCTAAAAATTAAACAGTTCAAATGCAAGATTTCTATTTGAAAAATTTGTTTCATTAACTTTTCGTTCATGAATGCAAAATCCATATTTACCTGCCACAATCATGTATGTAGCTATATACACCATAAAAGAACCCTGTAAATGCAAATGTATTCATATAAATTATAAATCAATAAATTTATTATTACAGCATAGGCTGCTTTAAGCTGTCAAACTTGTAATTTATTACTTCATGCCGATTAAAAGACACATGCAACATTTATTTTTAGTTTTTGTCAAGATGAAAATAGTGACTTACGATATTCATCAATTTGTGCATGCAATATACCAGTATGTTGGTATTTGCTGTCGTCTAAATTATTCAATCTTTGTGGATCTGTACATGTATGCACTGGAACATAATAGTGTAACCTAGAGGGTCTTCTTGCCAAATGTGGACTCTCTAACTTTTTGTAGCTGAATTTTGAACTTATTCCCCGCCTTATTCATATGAGCCATTGCTGTTTTGTTGGCTCTTCCTGTTAAATGCTCTTAAATATGCAGAGTAAACAAATAAGCGACCAGAATAATTCATGGACAAATGTACATGGATGATGTTTTGGAGTATTTGTGTATAGAGCCTTGATGTGCACACACTGTATATCGGGAAAACATTTGGATCAGGATGGATAAGACATAATCTACACATAACAATTATTAATCCACAATTTGACAATGAGTAATGGCATCTTAGACCAGTTGATTTTCAGTTTTTAAAATAAACTTAAATTATAAAATTTTTCAATTATTAAACTAAACTTATGTATTGAAGTGGTTTGAAAAAAAATATTAAAATTTCATCTTAAATATTTTGATATATCTGGTGCAAGGAATTAAATTAAAGTATAGTTTGTATCAACTTTTCCCGTGCATGTCAGTATTGTTGCCACATCAACTGTTACTGGCAAAAAAATGAAAGCAAGTTTTTTATACACATGATATCCAAATGCCTGCTAAGGATTCAAAGATACTGTGGATTAGATGATGTTTAGTCTTTGCATTTACGAGTACCTGTTCACCACTCGTATTACAATATTGCATGTATGCTTCACACGGTGTTATTTTTTTTTTTTTAAATTTTTTGTGCCAGGCGATAGTTCCAGACATGTAACTGTTGTTTCTCCTGACTTTTTTTTTTTATTATATGTGCAAATTGCAAGAGCTGGTGCTGTCACATAGTGCATTTTTGCCACAGAAGCCATATATTCAAGTTTGGGATTGCATGACAGGGCTGTGCTGCCATCTATCAAATTGCAATTTAATGCGCTATCCTGGCGTCAATCAGGCTCGGTCGAACACAAGCACCTGCGGTATATAACCAAGGTTCCCCAAAGTCGCATTCGTTAGCCAATGGAATTGGCCTTCCCATTGAGTCTGTGGCACACTCACCCAGGGTAGGGGTCGACCCTTTTTGATGTTCAGCCTAAAGTAGGATTTGATCTCAGGTCTACTGATCATGAGTCTGATGCGACAAACACTATGCTACCAATGACCGGTTTATTCAGAGTTTAATAGTTGATGAGTGTTCAGCAAGTTCAGTGATGGATACAAATGCCGTTTACTAATATACTTCATGCTGTGTATTTAAACTACATGAGGTACTGAAAACGTTGACAGGACATAGCAACAAAATTATTCCAAAGCACGAACTGATCAGGGTTAAATTTGGTGTTAATTTGGTGCGGTGTATGTGTGGTAATACCTACTGCATAAATAGTTTTTTAAAAAATGTTTTTTATCAATCAATTGCTATCTATCTATTTTTGCTATCTCCATCAACAACAGATGACTGTTTCAGTATGTTTTCAGTATGAAAAATATTATAAATTATCAAATTTTGGCTAAAAAATTTTTGCAACTTGACAATTATTATGATCGTTAAATAAATTTCACTCAATTGTTACTCAGTTTTCCCTAAATCTGAAAAATTTGCCTCATTTTTTTGTGGTGGTTTCCAACACACTGCCTAGACAAGAGTTTGTACATGTAAGGTTTTGACATGCAAAACTGCCTGCTCAAGTAATCTTTGTAACATGTCGTGGAAATAAACTAATGTAATAATGGAAGTAGCATTTTATTTTCAGTTTTATGACTGCAGTTTAACAGACCTGTATGCTCTTATTGTCTAAGTCTTCTCCATCAAGTAGTGAAAACATGATTTATTATCTCAGATATACTATATGGGGTCAAGTTCAAGGATGAAAAATTATACTCGTTTTTTGTTTTCTTTAATTACAGGCCAGTTGTTTTGTTACCTCAGCAATTTGTATATTTATAGCTTTGACTGCAAGTGCTTTCACTGGAATTCATGGTGCAACAATTATCAGCTTTCAGGATAGATGTCAGCATCTGAACAACCAAATATGCCAGTGTTCAAAGATCCAAGACATGACTGGGCTAGCAAGAGTCTATATTTATGAAGACACCATGGACTGTGAGAACTTCCTTGCCAATTTGAAAACTTATTTATTTTTTCAGTGCGCACTGAATGCCATTGGTGGGTTTACCTGCTTCTGTGTTGTTATAATGCTTTGGAAGCTTAGGTACATGGAGTTCTATTCAGGTCTTAGGTTCTACTCCTATAGCGCTACCATACCCAATCACCCTTAGTCTGACCCCTCAACTCCACCCTACCTCACACCCCCACCAATTAATGGTTCTAGACCTCCTAGATTTCTGTTTGTTGGCCAATCAGAATAAGCCTCACATAGAAATAGTCAACCGAGTGTTGGTTCTTTCTTGTAGGCTTATTTTTATTGGCTGTTTAGTATAGGGAAAATGTCTGACAGTGGGAAGCGTCTCTACAAGTCCATAGACTATAGCCCCTATGATATTTTTATGTCTCAGGTTATTTTACATTAACAGTGAATTCATAACAACTACATCTCATATTACAGTGTAATACAGTGCCTACATTGCATATGAATATATAATCATCAAAATAATAATATACATGCAAATTAAGATTTACTGACAGATGATAATCACAAATATTTATCATAATAATTAACATTAATAATGTTGATAATAATAATCGAATAATTGCATAAATGATCCAGCATACATAGTAGTATTGTATATAGCTTGCATGTTTCCTAGAATCACACATACAAATGTACTAGGATACTAATAATTGCATGTATTGTATGATAATTAACACATGACTAATTATGACAACAGTCAAACCTCAGTCATTTACATTAGCACATGTGCTACTAATAGAACAAATATGGTATACTGTAAAGGGGGTAATTATTCACTGGGTTTTAATTTAGCTTATTTCGCTGACTGGAAAATGCGCTAAATTAAAACCCACTGAAAATTAGTCATTTTACAGTAATAGATTTAGTTTTTATAACTGATAAAGTTAATTCAATAAACCCACATTTTAACATGTCAGCTTTTAGAAGTACAACCCAACACAATGATTAAACAAAACAAACATAATGAATGGAATGGCCAATACACTGTCTGGGCGTACATGGTTCAAGAGTCAGTAAGTAAATTTTATTAGACAATGTAATTCTTAGATTCAACAGCAAAATGTAGGTTGAAAACAAATTCAAATCTTAGATTAAATTACTGCACCATACTAGAATTAATCCAACTCAGTTTGTCACCACTTTATCACAGTCTGAGGGACTGTAACTTTATGCAACTTAATTCAAACATGATAGACACCAATACCTGAATGATACACTATTAAATACTTCATTATCAGTTATCTAATCAGAAAAAATATTCTGGACTGATTACCACAGTTTCTAATGAGTTGTCAATAGCCTTAATTCTCTGTATCTAATCATACACAGAGCCTTCCTACTGTCAACATCCGATGGTCAGTTCAGGTGGGTGTGCCTGGGGATGTACTCGTTGAGCTGATTGGCCCAGTCTTGGGATGTTGGTCAAAGTAGCACAGTGGAAAAAAGAAACAAATAATGTTTCGCTGAATATGTGTGAAAGCATTTCAATATTGTACCTGAAGGAGGTTGGATTGTTACCACAATATGCCTACAACTAACTTGTTATAGAAACTAGATCAATGGCATGTAGTACCGTAAAATCTGTATTAGAAGCCGCATCCCTAATAGAAGTCGCACCCATTCTTTTTGAATGTTTGAGAAGCAAAAATTCATCATTTCTCATATGTGTAGATGCTCTAATAGAAGCCGCATTCCCTCTGTCGCATTGTACCATTTTAATAGAAGCCGCGGTTTCTAATACAGATTTTACAGTAGGTCAAAAGCATGCAACATTACCCTGGCCTATAACCTTACAATGGCAAATCAGTCGTACATGTATAAACTTTACTATAGATCTCCTGTATGTTATAAAATACTATTGAATTCTATAGCATCTATAGAATATTGTAAATTTTGTTGTTGTATACAAGAATTACATTTGAAGAATACTTATTTTATGGTATTTTGAAACAACATTTCAATGTTAATTATTGCAGAGTTGTGATTATTGTATACAAATTTTCTCTACACTATCACTGAATATGTGACTATGTAAGACCTGTACTGAAGTGTGATGTTATTTATTCTATATAGCTACCTGGTAAATGTTTGATAACTTGATTCTATGATAAATCAACTTTCAGTTGTAATAAAATAATTGTATACTACATCATGTCAATTACATCAATCATAATTGGATAAAATGAACATAGTATCAATTGAATGATTAAAAAGTGTATTTTCTCTTCTCAAAATTGTTATGTTGACATATATTATAATGTATATCAGCATAGTGCTAGAGCATGTAGGTGTTCTGTTTTATTTGGCATGAGAAAACCACAAAGTGGATATATGGGATAAATAGCATCCTGAGGGAATAATGACTACTGTGTCTGATATTACAACAATCTTTTTTATTTTTAAACAGATAAAAATTGATCAATTATTCAGACATTTTCTAAAGGTTACTGTACTAAGCATGCTAATATAACAACTGATAAATCATTTTAAATATAGGTGAATATGGCCATGCATGTTGTACCAATGTATGTCTACGGGATTACTTGATGGCCAATTGTTGTAGGTGAAAAAAATGTATATGTGGTTTTACAGCTCAACTCTACATTCATTCATCATTACTATGTGTCTTGATTGTTTTTATCCATACTTTAGCTTTCTAATTACAGCCTGTCCAACAGATTGTTGGTAGTATGTCTATTGGTATTTGGTCACACCACCGTATTCACCTATATCTAAGCTCTCAGATTATGATATGTTGTTGTAACCTTACATAATACCTTACCATGCCAGGCAAGTTAGACTAGTCTTTGCCAACAGTGTGCAGGTTTGAAACGCATCTAAACCATTCAGTGCCATTTACTGTTGAATGAGGGGTAGTCACGCTTAATTATAAAGTTTTGTATACTATTAAGCAACTAACTACAAACTAAAATGGAATAGTTGAGGTTTTACTGACTCTACTTTGAAAAATATCACATTAAATATGGCTGTCTAATTGATAGATTTATTAAAAACACATGTCACAAGTATAGCTTTTACGCATGAAGTCAGCATGAATGCTTCTCCACTTAGCGACTGTCAATCACCTAGTCACTGCTCAGAGGTTTGAAATACAAATTGTATTGTATTTGCTGTTTACATTAATCTCATAGTTAATATTAAGATAGTTATTCTTATGAAAACTAACTTACAATTTTTATATGAACTTAAGGCACCAATATGTTAGTAAGCTTTGGTGTAAAATATGATAGAAGCATATATACTCCATGTAATGGGTTTTTGTATTATCTTCATTGAGGGCAGGCTGTGTTTGCAAGGCTTTATGCAGTGTTCTAATTTCATAGAGTATTTCTTAAAATAGAAATGTTTTATGTGGTGCATACTACTTTCCCATCTGTCTGCATGTGACTACTTTTACTTATATGGCCATGTACACTGTAGTTGACCTGTGTATGCCAAATAATAAAACAAATAACGTTTCATTTCAAATTATCACTGTATGCCTGACATTGTTAACACGGTGTACATATTTTCTATGCAATTCATATTGGTAGATTATTATTATTATTATTATATACTCATTTTGATACTGATCTTGTAATATTATAATTATGCTAAACAAATGATATGTGTATCTGTTGCATCATCTCATTAAATGGAATCATCTACTAGGAATTGCTAATGAGAAAATGAATGTGAAATATTTCTCAGGCTGCTCTGCCATATAGGGAAATGCTTATTACCATATCTATCCAGGGAGAATGACTGATTGACCAATAGCAAAATGTCATTTGAACACATCCTTATTCACAATTATGTTTATTTGGGCTTTTCTTTTTTTTCACCCCTCAATGGTTACAAACATTAATTGGTCAAACATTATTGACAGGCTTTGTGTGCCATGTGATAATAGGTATGTGTAAATTCATTAAATATATACTTGGCTTCGCCAAAATTGGTTATTTTAATAATTCATTTTTCATCAGTGATGTTTTAATGAGAAAGAGACTTCAGTGGATGAAAGCTGATTTATGATTTATTAAGCTGATAAAGATACAAGTGAAAAACTCTTTGATATTCAGCTAGCAGTGCATGTCTATGATTGGTTAGAACTGCTACAAGGTAATTTGAATATGGAGAACAAAAATAGATAAATTTGAGTGTCTTGAAGTCATTACTGTTGAATCCATGCATGTGTTCTACAATGGCCAATTGTCAGTAATGGGGTGATTGCACCAATCTATGCAAATTTATATTGTCATACCCACTAGAATTATTTTAACCTACATAGATTCAGATTCAATGCATACAAATGTAGCTACTAAGCTTGTGCTTGATTGGCTCTAACAGTCAGACCAATCAGAGAGCAGTTTTTTTTTAATTTTTTTTTCGGTCAAATTTTGCATTGTATTTTTGCTTTCACTTAACTGTAGATTCATGCTTGGTAGAAACACTGAGGCTGATACAGAAAATTGTGGAAAAATTATTTTGGTGGCAAGGGAGATTGAAATGTAAAATTAGTAATCAGAAGAAATATTCATGTACTGTTAAGAACTGGTAAGGAGAGATTATGAATATTTAGAAGATTATCACCTCAACTTGTGAAAGAGGTGTGGAACATCTCAGACAAATTAAATTGTGCAAATTGTGAGATTACAAAATAACCTGACAATCATTTCTCAAAATACTAATTCAAATGAGCGAGATTGAAAGAACTTGTAAGTTTTCATCTCCAGCTGTTTTGCTCATTCACAAAGTGTATATTATGTGTGTTGTACTTTTATTGAATATGGAGATGATCTCGCTCATTTTTATTTTACACAATTAAACCTTTCCAAATGTCCACTGATGCATTTGGTTAGAAACGAGTTTGATTGACACGCACACAGTGTAGGATTTTCACCACACCGTGCATAAATATCAAAGTTGCATCCCTTTATCATAGTATTGTAAATAGCAAATTGTCATCTTCTAATCCTTATATAAGTAATTCTAATTTGGATGGTTTCCTTGACAAATCAACACTTTGGAATACATACATAAGTGATGTATATTTCGATAAGTCTCAATTATTAACATTGGAATTCATTTGAAAAAAAATTAAAATTTAATGTGAAGGGAAAAACCAATGTGCACTGAAGGGCTTAATGCATTGAGCTGAAAATTAGTGTGTAATCAGATTGTCTTTCTGAACAGGTGCTTTTACAATATGTGTGTCATTACTATTTCAAACCTATTTCTACATTGTTTGTGATAAATATTTTAATTGGGGCTCTAGAAACGTTGCTGACTGAAATCAGAGCATTCTTTATTTCTTTTAGCATAATCCAGGGTGTGTCCATATTCATTTTTACTATGCATGTACCATAGATGAAAAGGAAAATGTCTTATCAATCTGTATAAAATGTTAACCAAGGTCAATTCTTAAGTGACAAGCATGTATCCTTTCAATCATATGTAGTTTAAATCATTGTTGCCACTTCAGGTCAAATACTGTTCCTGCCAAATTCTGCTTAGAAATATTGTGTACCATTAATGTTATATTAATATTTAATAAGGGGCATCAAGATTAATATGGTACATGAAGTATAAATTGAACATATTTTTTTATGTAATGTTTTTTTTTCTCCCATGCAAAAATTTGTTTAGATGATGTATTGTTTTAATTGCATATTTGCCGTTATGAAAAAAATGAATCCGGACGCAAGTGCATCTTTAGTTTGTATTCATTCTACTTGTTAGATTCTCAACTAGCAAGGTTGTAATAGTTTTTCTATGTTATTTATTAATAATATGAATATTTTAGATTTGTTATTGTTTACTGTAATTTGCTTGAGGGCAATATGCAACTACTGGTATTTATTTCCCACTCAATCTTTTGGTAAATCTTTCAAGAATTATGAAATTATTATAATCTCCCTGGCGGTGATTGTTTACTATCACCGATTTGGTGTTTTTTGACAATATTTTCATGTTATTAAAATTGATAATTTTGATATGCAAGATTGACCACAATTAATGATATTCAGCTTAAAAAGAAACAATTGAACAGAATATATTTCGTTTTGGACTGGATAGTCGAGAGGCAAATATGACAGTATTGGAGTATTCCATTTGTGTATAATACATAAAAATTATGCATGTGCAATACTTGGTCATAAAAAGCTTGGATGTAGTCTTGATGAATATCACTTATAACTAATAATAAAATGTGGGGTTTTTTTCCAAAATCACCGCTGCGTAAAGAGTCTTAATTGCCCAGTATTGTGGGCTCCTGTCTGTGGATGTTTTACCAAGGAGTCGGGCATCTTTGATCAAACAAAACTTGGTTGATGCACGCCAAATTGAAACACAAAATACTACTTGTGTAGACTGTCTGATAATAATTGACTATTTTAGAGACTGGATAGAGACAGGCCTCAAGAAAGAATAAGGTAAATTACCAGCAATAGCGACGATTTCAAACATTTGTTTAAATATAACCACATAAAGATGATCAAATCTTACCAGAAATTTTTTTAAAAAACATAGTTGAACTCTGGTGACCTTGCCCTTTGTTATATAATATAATTCCCTTTATCATAGTTTGTTTCAATATAAATATGCATTGTCATAATTAATTTTGAATACAAACAAGTTTTGGGGTTGAACCAACAGTGGGGAATCAGTCTACCGAATGTCCTTAAAAGATGTAAATATCTTACAAAAACATTGGTGCCTTATTTGTTTAATTATTTTAAGGAACATAATTTCCAGCTTTATTCAAAGTAATTCAGATATTTTAGTATAAAAACAAATGCCTCATCGCAACACAAAAAAAGTGCTGCATTTAGACGTGAATAAATTCATAAAACATGCAAGATAACAGAAAATCTTAGCTGGCTTTTGTCCAAGTATTTTGTACAGGTGTCTGTCAAAAATGAATGATTCACTGAGACAAATATGAACTGCCTCATTGTGTGACTACTGTATTATATGAAAAGTAAAAAAAACACCCTTTATGAAAAGCTATCATGTTGCAAGCTCTGCTTTGTATGCAAATCAACTTAAATAGTTGGTGTCCAGTGGAGGGAGAAGTCAACAGTACTGTTGCCTCCTGAGAAACTACATCTTCAAACACTGCAATCTTTGAAGTGCGTTTTTAAACTAGTA